GAATATCTAAATGAATAAACTTAATTTTTTTTCATTCTAAAAGTTTATCGCAGAGTCCCATGTGCAAGAGTCCATTAATTAGCGCCAAACTTCTAAATCCACCTTCGGCTAAAATTAAAATCTGCTCGCCATAAATTTTTCCTCTAAACACAAAATGGGTCGCTTTAATGTAAATTTGTTGTTTTTGGTCGCGATTTAATTTGATTACGCCGGCAAACCGTCGAGCGTATCTTCCTCGCCGTGCTGGTTTAAACACGTAACTTTGAGTTAAATGTTTTTCTGGCACAATGTTCACAATCAAGAGACGTGACTATACAAATTGGATCCGCCTGATATGCCAACGCTACACTCCTATTAATTTATCGCCACCAACATAATTATTTGTTTGCATGCACGGATTTCTAAGGGTTGCTGACTATTTTTCAAAAATATACAGTACGTATACAGCGGCGTAACTAGAAAAAGTGCCGCCCGGGGCAGCAGTGGATGTCGCCCTCATGTTTTTTTTTGGGGGGGGGGAAGAGTGGTTAGGTTAGGAGTCAGTTTTGAGGACCGTACGTAAAATTAAAAATATATAATTATATATATAACATATATATATAACATTAAATTGTAATATTTTAAGAATTAAAAGCAAACAAAAATTCTTAGACCTAGGTAAAGAAAAACAACTATTTTTTGATAGCTTTATTTGATTTGGAATATTTTGGGAGTAATTGTATAAATCTCAAATCTATTGGAATTTGAATTATATTATTTCGAAAGAGAATATTTAATTATCAAATATTTTTTTTATTTTTATATTCTGTCTTCCAGTTTTTTTCGAATTTTCTCTCACGATTTTTGCCGCCCCAAGAAGTGCCGCCCGGGGCGGACCGCCCCCCCCCCGCCCCCCCCTAGTTACGCTACTGTACGTATACGAAAACAGTCCAGAGAAACTTTGTGTTTGGCTTGGATTTTTGTAGAAGTGTTATTAATAGAAATTATTACCTTTATATAATAAAATAGGTAATATTAGGTAATAGGTATGGGTGAATCTCACAAAATGTCCCCCGATGGTGTTACCCCCTGATATTTAATAAAACTAAACGAGTTTGACCTACACTTTAATTGTGTTTTGATCTTTCATAATTAATTAGATATTACAGCTCAGGTTCCAGATTTTTAATCGAATCAAATATTAAAAATTAAAAGAAATAATTTTTATAGGTGTTACAAAAATTGATTCTATCCTCCGTGAATCTGTTTTTGCTTTAAATTTTATGCAACGGATGGAGCTTTAATCAATTTAAATAAGCAAAACCTCTGTTTACGACATTATAGATGCATGTGATTCCTGAAGGTCAGTTAACTAGAATTTATATGCAGATGAGAGTGTTGCTGTTTTATAATTCAAAAGTTTAAGTTCATTAATTTGCTATTTAAAAACCTATCCACCGTGAAGTGTTATATTTTGTGTTTGTACAATTGTATTTTAAGAAAAATATTAAGGTGACAAAAGATACAATAACTTATTTCAAATATACAAAGGAATGTTTAAAAAATAACATACGAAATCCTAACCTCCGTGAAGCTATCTTCCGTGAAGCTCTAATATTCAAAATGTATGATTTCTTAAAATTCTTGCATTAGTGCAGAACCACTTATGTTATGTTATTACTAGACCTGGTGGCTTCCCAAAAACCCCATTCTAGACTAACAGTGAAACAACCAAAAATAAAAAATAATCATTTTCACTTGGGGGACATCTCAATATATTCACCCGTATAAGAAAAAATAATATTTTTCATGTTTAGTCTCGAAAATGTATTTTTCTTTTATATTTTAACATAATAAACAGTTTCCATGAAAATATTTTTTGCCTTTTTTTGATCCATAAAATAAGTTAAATATACGTCAATTTTAAACGTCGCAGATACGTTTTGCTCGACGGCTAAGATACGGCACTACAATGACGTAATTATGATGTGACATATGCACGTCTCCCAATCGTCAATAAGACGTCTTTCTAAGACACGTTATCAAAATGACTAAAATCAGTCGTCTTTGGGACGTATTTCTGTTTGCTGGGAGGTTTTTTTAGTCACGTGCTGAAGTTAGTTTTAAATTAGTAAAATGTTATACAATCGTTAAAATAAAGTGCCCTTCTTGTTAAATAGTTAATGTTAATGTAAAAATTATTTTATTATCTTAATACAAAAATGCAAAAGTATTAAATAGTTTTTTAACGCCAATATTTGTAAAGTTTATATCAACATTTTACTGACCTTTTAATTTCGCCGACAACAAACTTTATTTAATTTAAATTCGCGTGAGTGCCAATAAAACTTTTCTTTACTTTCACTGTGAAAAAACGTTCCATTTTCAAAGGATACATTTACACCACTGTGATTTACACATTAAAATTTGACATTTTACATTATTACATATTCCCAAGTAGGTTACTCTATTGTTTTATAGATGGGGCTCTATACAAATATTTAATTTAAATCATTTTTAGTAAATAATAAGTATTTGTCGTAGAAAAAGTATAGTATGCAACTCGTTTATAAACTTTTCTAGACACTCATTTAATTAAGCACTTGCTCGCAAACTTGATACATAATAATACATACTATTAAAGAAAAAACATATGCATCACTATTTGCAAAAGTAATTTTATAAATGTCTGGATTTGAAATTGGAACATATGTAGTTTTTTGTGAAGAAAGGCATTTGACGTATTATACAAATAATGTATTCCATGTAGATGCAGGCTGAGTTTGCAGCATGAAGTTGATTGAATTTCCCATTGGAGAGGCTTTTTTGATGCACTCGAAAAGTCATATTTTTACATTATAGTTAAATTACTTTTATGTTATTTTTGCTTACCTACATGAAAATATTTTATATTTTAGAGTAGGAAAATATTTTTATTTTATTTTACTTGCTTACATCTGAATTAAATTTTAAAAAATGAAAATCAGTTTATTACATGTTTATTAAAATAAAACTAAAATTTGCTGCAAGATTTTCATTTATTACATACCTACATATAAGGGCGAATCTCACGAAATATCCCCCGATGGTGTTACCCCGTGATATTTAATAAAACTAAATGAGTTTATTGTGTTTTGATCTTTCATAATTAAGTAAATATTACGGCTCAGGTTCCAGATTTTTAACCGCAATTAATTATTTTTTACAATGTTTTAAAAGCTTAAAACCTATCCTCCGTGACCGATACTCTTTCTAGGTTAACCTATATGTTTTCAAATATCTGAGGTAGTAAAAGAATACTAAAAATATCAGTTCACTAAGTAAATTAAACACATCCACAGCAATCGAATCAAATATAAAATATTATTAAAAATTAAAAGAAATAATTTTTATAACCATTTATGTAGGTGTTACAAAAGTTGATTCTATCCTCCGTGAATCTGTTATTGCTTTAAATTTTATGCAACGGATGGTGCTTTAATCATTTTAAATAAGCAAAAACCTCTGTTTACGACATTATAGATGCATGTGATTTCTGAAGGTCAGTTAGAATTTATACGCAGATGAGAGTGTTGCTGTTTTATAATTCAAAAGTTTAAGTACATTAATTTGCTATTTAAAAACCTATCCAACGTGAAGTGTAATATCTCAGTAAGTAGATTTTTTTATATGTACAATCGTATTTTTTTAAAATATTAAGGTGTCAAAAAAAACAATAACTTATTACAAATATACAAAGGGATGTTTTAAAAATAACATACGAAATCCTAACCTCCGTGAAGCTATCTTCCGTGAAGCTCTAATATTTAAAATGTATGATTTCTTAAAATTCTTGCATTACTGCAGAACCACTTATGTTATGTTATTACTAGACCTGCACTGTTCAAAATTTCATGACCATTTTAATACCAAATTAACACCATACATGGTCTATATCAATACAAACCAAAATGGTGTTAAATATGGTTCGTTGGTCCAGTGTAAATTCAAATATTAAAATGGTGTAAAAGTAACTTTCACACAGTATTAAAATAAATTTTACCTGCTGTAAATTGAACTCCTTTTCAGTGTTAAATATTATGTGTTTTTGGTCAAATTAAATCATACTACACAGAAAAAAAGGAAAAAAAAAGAAACAGGAAGTTCCTTGACGCATTACAAATATATTACCAGTGGTATTATTCCAGAAAATTGAACTTTCAACTCGCTAGAGATAATGTTTTTAGTGCGTTCCACCAACTTAAAGTACTTCAAATATTGACAGCTGGTTCCACCTATTTAAGGTCTCTTTAGTATCGAACAACTTGTAGTGTCACACCAAAGCAAAGGACTACCTGAGCTTATATACTCTTCATGTAAGTCAACAGAGGCGAGATTTAAGAACATCACGTGATCCACGCCGCCTTTGCCGCGATCGGATCACACTAGGCAACAAGGAATGCACGGCAAATTGTTTTAATCGTTTTAACAGAGTGCTTTAGGTTGAAGTAACTCTTATTTTACAAACAACATATTTAGTAAACTGAACTATACAGCGGGTTGGTTTTACTAAAGTTTTCTGGGTTAATTTAACCAATTTAAAAAAAATAAAATAACTATCTGGTTTAGTACCGTCAAACCAATCTTTGTTTATATTAACCTTCCCACAGTTGATTTAAATAAATACGTATGGGTCAACTAAATTAATATAGTTAAATAAACTATTCCTTTTTTTCTGTGTACTTCTCAAATATTTTTAGATAAACACCGTTTTGGTGTTTGCTGTATAAAACATTTTCAACCATAATTCATGGTGTTATATTAACACCACTTGGTGTTGGATTTTGACCATTTTAAGATTACTCTTCACACCACAGATATTTTAAACAGTGTGGTGGCTTCCCAAAAACCCCATTCTAGACTAACAGTAAACCAACCAAAAATAAAAAATAATCAATTTCACTTGGGGGACATCTCAATATATTCACCCATATTCGTCAAGAGTACCAGCTGAGGTCCCACCCTTAAGAACTTAAGAGACGCAATAATACAACGGTTTATTTTTAGGACATTTAATTATTCTTTTTCAGTCTCATTTGGTTTGTCCGATTTAATTTTATAAGTCGCATAAGCCACTCCAATTAAAGCTCCTGCAAGAACATCCCACCAATGGTGTTTATTATCTACAATCCTGGATATCGCACATAAACCATTCCAAAATAGAAAAACCGCTATCAAGAGAAATTTAGCTGGATTCAAACTTGTCGATTTAAACTTATTAAGTATTAAATTCTAAAATGAATAACAAACATTATATCTCATATTTTATGCATTTTAAGTGAGTATACTTACAATAAAATAAATAGCTGTAAACGTAGACAAAGACGAATGTCCAGATGGAAAGGATTTAGACAGATCTTTTAATCTAAAAACGCTCCATTCAGTGTTGGAGCATGTGAAATCAGTTATGTAACTCCCAAGCGCGCAATTTTCATTTTCATGAGGCCTGCAGTCTGTCAAAAAGTGCGGACGTGGTTCACCGACGGTAACTTTTAAAATATCAGTGATCAACAGCACCAGAGCCGCTGCCGTGTTGAAGTCCACAGTTTGCCTCCAAACGTCGGAGAGCCTAACTGTTCTGTAGGTGCCTTGTGCGAGGAGTTCGATGAGGTAGACGAAGAAGAAGGAACCAACTATGGTACCGTAGATTAATACTTTGGGTCTCACCGTATCGCTGGTGAATATCCTGCTAAGGCTTGGATCTTTGCAGGTGAAGCCTTGCTTGTAGGATGGAATGTATTCCGAGTTTAAAAGGAAAAGCAGTGTCATATCTGAAAATATAAAAGATTTTTATTAATAAATATTGAGCAGGTGAGAGTGACGAGATGGGAGGCATTTCAGTCTTGTAACATTGGTTGCCTACTACTGGCGTAAAGTAGTAAACCTATTACTCTATTATTTTCAAGTTTGGTGGGTATTAATGGGTTATAAAATTACGTATTTTTTTAATGGCGTTTCTGCAAACATGTTATCTGAAGTTTTTTTTACAAAAAAGTGGTACCTACTCCAATGATATTAGCCTTGTCACAAAGCATAACAAATAACACCAACCATTGGATTATAATCAAATGCTGTGTCTCGTAATTCGATGCGATTGAGAAATTGCAACCCAAAAGCGAAATATCGCAGCTTTTTTTAATATTTGAGGTTATATTACATTACAAGGCACTTTTATACACCTTTGTTATAAAATGTTTGTTGATTTTTGTTATATATACACTGTACTGTTCGGTTCCAGCGCTTCAGAAGACACGTCGCGTGCGGGTAAGCTCTTGAAACGTAAGAGTTTAAAGATAAAACCAACAATAATTATAAAAAAAAGTGCAAACTAATAAGTGAAACAAACATTTTCATAGAGTGCAAAAATGGTGTAACGGTCATTGAGGAGTGAAGTGTTGAGTGATATGAATGAGTTAAGAGCCACCTGTCATTGGAGGCTTTTCACTGGACAGACAGGGGAGGTCAAACAAGAGGGGAGGTGGCCATCCGCAAAAAAAAAGCTGATAAGTTACTTTAAGAATTGCATGACCTGATACAAATCTGCAATTTAAATACGGCAGATCCCAGCAACCATTAACATTGCCCGTTATTCATTTTATTAAACATAACATTTATTTACTTGAAAATGTTAAAATAACTTTAAAATATGATTATGTTAGGAACATATTTTACTCTTTAAACAATTGTTTTGTTTTTAATTACTATCATTGCAAAATTGTATTAAAAAGTATCAAAAATTCTTACACGGGCAATGTTGGTGGTGATAGGTACCGTTAAAGTGTTTATTGGGATATCTTTAAAACCTACGAAAGGCACACGGAATGGGGAAATAAATCTGTCAACAACAAATGCGTAAGGCAATCCCAATCGAGACCGAAAATAAACACTAGACTCAGAATAAACTAACACATTAATCATAATTCTAACATTAAAAAAAAAGCATAATAGCCAAACTAGAGATTTGTAAACATTAGACAACAGAATAATCGCGCTTGTAATTTGTTTAACTAATAAATAAATGCAATGCTTAATTTTGGAAATTAAAAAAAAAAAGACAAAACTCTATCACAAAACGTGCTTGGGACAAAATTTATTAAAAACAACTGACACACTTTACCAAGTGCAGGAAATATCTGACCAGGACACGGACAATGACAATAACGAACAAGACAAAGACCTCGACTAGGAAACTACACCCCTGCAGCGAAATAACAATTCCCCAACTCCAAATAGTAGTCCCAAAGGTTTGGAGTAATACTAATCGACTGGTCTAGGGGGATTCCGCGCCGTACTTAGTTTTAAGTCGGCGTAATTGTCCCCCAAAAACCAACACCTTCCCGTCCCTCCTCCATACCCCACTGAGCGTATAGCATAGGCCCGGCGAACCCGGGAACGGCTATTATAACTATTCGCCTCTCGCTCTCGAGCCCCAAATAGGGGACAGTACGGAACGCAATGGACATTCGCACCCAGCAAACACGGGTGAAGCCGTGCAGTTGCTGGGGAAGAACAAAAATCGGCGTAAGTAAACATAGGCCTGTACGGGGTTCGAGAGTCAAGAGGAAATGGGGCTGGTTATACGTCTCTTATACTCATACTCATACTCATATACACTGTACTTGTTCTTGTTTTCCTATATTTATAGTTTACTGCCGGCAAAAATAGTGCGGAATAATTGGGTATGGTGAAAAAACTAATGAGAAAAGTTGATGAAAAAGCAAGAGAAGTCAAAGTATTCAGAGAAAAATCACAACCTTCAACTTCTAAGTTTTCTGACTTAGAATTAGATATTGGAGAAGAAGATTACTCGGACCCAGATTTTATTGCAACAGAAACTAAATTTCAAAAACAGAACTCTCTAAAAATGAATCGGTCAAAAATGATTAATTTAATAGTTATTAGTGGCTGCTTTTTCACTTGTACCATGGTTAACCATGGAATACCATAGTATCCTAAAATTTAACAGCCAATTCTTATGTAAAATTGTCCCCTGAATCCGAAAACGTCGTCAAAAGTTAAAAAAGTAGAAAAGTTACCATGGTATTCCATGGTTAACCATGATACAAGTGAAAAAGCAGCCACTAATAACTATTAAATTAGTCATTTTTGACTAAATCATTTTTAGAGAGTTCGTTTTTTTAAATTTAGTTTCTGGTGCAATAAAATCTTCATTACTTAATTTTGAAAAAGTATGTGATCGCACCGGTATATCCGACATATCTGCATCTGCCATTGCTAAAGGATAAAACTAGAAATTGTACTCTATTTTTTTATATATGTCGCTTTATTCAAATATATAAATTGAATTATTTTTTGATGATAATAGGTATTTTTCGTAAAAAAAGTATAGTATGCGTTTATAAACTTTTCTAGACACTCATTTAATTAAAAACTCGCTCGTGGCTAATTAAAAATCGTGAATAAAATGGCGTTTATCAAACTTGATAGAAACGATTACTTTTGAGAAATGAAAATTCAACGAAAACTGAGCAAAAATTATTTTTATAAAAAAAATCAGTACCTAAAAATAACTTTAATTAAAAAAAATCGATCTAATAATTTTTATTACTTAATGTGCAATAATTATTATGGTAAAAAGTGAGTGTACTTAACGATTACGTGGTGTACTTTAATATTGACATTTCCCGTCATTTGACTAATAAATTACTTACGAACCACTGTGCAATTAGGATGATTAAGAAAACAATTATTAACTAATGACCGACCTTTTCAATGAATGCAGCAATATAGATGACATGGTAAATTTAATAAAATAATAAGAAAACTTACAAATAAAATACCTGTGAATTTTGAACATGGTTGGGTTTATCACTTCAAGGACGCGTAGTAATAATATTTGAGTAGAAAAACATAGATATAAGAATTTTTATCTAACCACGATAACACTGATTACTATTAATAATAGCAAGCACCACGCGTTTGCATTTAAAAGACTACGACAATAAGTCTACAGTGTTCTACTTTTAAATACGAACACTTCCTGATAAGCACCACAAAACTACACTGTTCAAAACAATTATGTTTACCTGTGTTGTAATAAAATAAAATTTGCAAAGTGGGGAGCCATCGCTAAAACTGATTTTCATCTATGGAATCGTACTTTAAACTCATAGAAAGTTACTTGGGAAAGATTGCCTCATTTTGCGTATATAAATAAACAATTTTATAGTAAACACAAACTGCACTATGGGAGAAATATCAAATTTTAAAGAACAAACTATAATAAAAGAATTAAAAAATTAAAAATGCAACAAAAAGTTTTTTATTAAAAAATCACCATGTATACATTATAATGGGAAAAACCCAACCTAACAAGACTTTTTTACAGACAACATTTCTGTGGTTTCTTTATTAATTCAGTGTTTTAATTTTATTTAAAAATCGCCAATTTTCATTTATCACAATATTTTTTTTATTATTTTCAATAATTTAAGTAAATTTGTTGGCTTGGTAATTAAGCCAATAATAATAATTATTATTATGCAGCTTGAAGCTTTGTTGAGATTCAAATACGAGGTGTGTTCAGAAAATATCGGGAATTTTCGTTTTTTGAAACAAATATTTATTTTTTCGTCTACATTAATGTTGTCGCCTTTAAAATAGTCCCCATTGGATATTATGCACATGTGCCAGCTCTTCTTCCAATACTCGAAACACTTCTAAAACTCGATCTTTTGGATAGCCTTTAGTTCTTTCAGCGATGCGCTTTTAATGTCATCTATGCAAAACGACGGCCCTTCATGGTTCTCTTTATTTTTGGGAATAGGAAAAAGTCAGACAGAGGCATGTTTGGCGAATATGGTGGCTGGGGCATCATTACAGTATTGTTTTTGGCCAAAATTTTTTTTCAAAATTTAACAATTTTAGAACAAATCTTGCTGCAACGCGTTTCATACCCAAAACATCTAAAAAAATGTCATGGGATGAGCCAATCGATATACCAACATCATCAGCGACTTCTCTGATGGTTTATAACCATTTCTTCCACTTTTTCCATGTTTTTATCGGTTGGTAATGTGCTTGTGCGTTCGGGGCGTTCGTCATCTTCAACGTCTTCACGGCCATCTTGGAAACTCTTATACCACTTGTAAACTCTTGTTTTACTTATAGCAGACTCACTATAGGCCTTTGTTAACATTTCACAGAATTTACTTCATTTTTTAAGCAAAATTGGATACAAATTCTTTGATACATTTCTTTTACGAACGAAAAATCGCCGAGCTCATAAAACACGTCTAACCTTAGCGGCTGCCACAGACAAAGTAAACAATGAAAACAGCTAAAGTTTTTATCATACTTCGGGGGCATGTATTCCAACATAATAAAGAAAATTTTATGACAACCGGACCCTCCGAACCCGCGAAATTTAACAATTCCCGTTATTTTCTGAACACACCTCGTATAATAGGATGTGACAGAATTATTTACTTTAAAAATATTTCTTTTGTTCGTCCCACTGTGAACACCTTTAAATGACAGGAAATATTCAACGGCTGCGTCATGTGATGCCATCACAACCTGCTGATTTAACAGCTGTTCGTTTTTGGTTAAGGTTCCTTGGATAAATTTAATTCATAATTTTTATTAATGGTTGGCTTTTGATCTTTCAAATCACACCACGCACAGTAAACGTATGTTTTGTAATATTGCACTTTAGCATGATTTTCTAAATAGTAAATAATAATAATATAGTAGGTACTTAGGTGGTAACAAATGGTTGATGTGGTAAATTAAATAAAACAACCATTGTTAGAAAACATCCTAAAACCTGTTAGGTAGTTCTTTGTGCAGGTAAAAAGGGATGTTTTAATACCGCAATAAAGTAACAAAGAAGTGTTCAGTTTTTTATCTTTACCGCTTATATTTTTACGTAAAAATCATAAAAGCCTTTTGTTCACACTTTATTAGTAAGTATGTTTATTTAGGCAGGTATAAAAATTTGTCATTTGGTAAGGAATTTTATCCTTATAAGAAAAACCGTTATATGGAGGAATGCATCTAAATTCTTTTATTATCATAGGCGGTATGATTAAAAAGAATATTAGTAATAAATAAATTATCATAACGTATTGGGAATAAATTTAAAGTACCTATATGGTTAAAAAATTTCTATGGGAATGCATTGAGAAATGTTTAAATATTTATACAGGGTGGGCCATAAAGTTGAGTGTGTTTAAACAAATTCTTAAAAACAAACTGTAAATCCAAATATATCAGGTGGTATTTTTGCCCTAGGGCAAAAATTGCCCTTTTGCATTTGGAAAAGTTTTGCCTATAAATGTACCTACAATATAGGACTCTATATTATTAGGACTCTTGTGCAATCGCAATAGCCAACAATAAAATCGTGCCCAATAAAACGCAAAGTCAGTTTCCCAGGTAGCACAACGTGGCGAAACCGTGACGAATTGTGTCCATTGTGTCCAATTGGATTTGTTTAAATATTTGTAGTTACAAATATTAATTTTATGTAAAAGAATATTACTAGAAAAAAAAGCTTTTTCTTATACGCTAAAGAAGAATCTGGTTTTCGCAACGCGCGCGCCATCTGGTGGTGTTCGATATGATTGTGTGAATTCAAGAATTGTCATCAATATATTTAAAGCATACAAACTGCACATCATTTTTAATAAATAAGTAGTTTTTTTTACAAAAGAGAGAAAGGCAGAAGTCTTACTTGACAAATTTTGTTCGCAAAGTTTCAATTGCACAGCTAAATCGCGCACGTAATTTGTGTTTTGCGTTGCAAGTAAAAACTAAAAAACTGGTTTAGTACTCGATTTTGATTTATTAATCCTTATATCATTGATTAAAAAACTCAACACTTATATGCTTATGTAGTTACGTTAGTGTGTATATTTTATCTAAGTGTCACTTAGTAAGTGATCATGGTAAATTATTGTGTTTTTAATTGTAAATGTAGTTCAAGGACAAATCGTTGCATTTTAATGTTTTGTCGGATCCAATTCGGTACGTTTATTTGTTGGTGCAGAATTAACTAATGATAACTTTACCTAATATAATTTATAATTAAGTTTTTTTAAAGAAATATAACAAGAAATAATAGTTGTACAAATATAAACTTAAAAACAAACATTTTTCAATTTGAATCTCCTAAAAAACGCCGACATCTGCAACGAAAAATACATCTACGAATTCATGGCAACATAATATTATATATACCTATCTATATAATATAATACCCGTTTTTGTTTTTTTACAGGTAAGTAAAGACTTCTTCAAACAACGCTTTTAGTAATGCATAACGCTGTTTGAATTTAAACGACTTATTAGTTTTATGATTTTTACTAAATTGAAATGTTTACAAATTTCACGTAAATCTTTACTTAAATGTGTATTATATCTAATACACGGTTCAAAATTTCATTTTAACACCAAATTAACACCATACATGGTCTATATCCATACAAACCAAAATGTTGTTAAATATGGTTCGTTGGTCCAGTAAATACTAAAATAGTGTAAATTTAACTTTCACACAGTATCAAAATAAATTTTACCTGGTGTAAATTGAAATCCTTTTGGTCAAATTAAATCATACCTACTATAGGTAAAGTGTACTTCTCAGTAGTTCGAAAAGATCAAATATTTTTAGATAAACACTGTTGTGTTATGTGTTTATATTAACACCACTTGGGGTTGGATTTGGACACCATTTTTAGATTACCCTTTACACCACAGGTATTTTAAACAGTTTAGGTACAATTTATATTTACAGGGACTGTATGAAATTTATTTCTTCATTCCGATTTCCACTGTTTATTGGGAAACCGCTAAAAACTCTACCCAGGATTTCCTATAGATAAATACCCTCTTAATATGTTAACCAATCAAAACGTCGGATTTCAGAAATTTTGACCAATAAGTGATGAAAATGCATCTTAAAAGGTGCATCTCTTAAGATGCATTTTTATCACTTTTAAAGAATCTTTTATCCATGGATAAAATCGACTACTCCACTCATTACTTTATGGACCAATCAGATTTCAGAAAACGCGTGTTTTTTTAGTTTTGCAGCGATAAAACTACTATTTAGGTGACTATATATTTCCCTCGCCTTAATTTCCACCAATCACAAACACGCAATTTTGAATTACAAATGGTTTCTAGGTGAAAAAACTGTATGACAGCACCTGTCAGCAGTTTTTTCGAGTTTACCCGCGGCAAAACTTGACAGCTGTTGTCATCAAAAATTGCAATTTATATTTTAATTGTTAACTGTTACTCATGAAATAGTCTTGTCAAATACCATTCGGGATCAAATTTTTCCTGTGAAAAAAATCGAAAAAACACAATGCTAAGTAATATTTTTTAACAAAATGCATTCGTTTTGTTGCCACCAGCACTCATGCTTTTTGTTAAAATATTACTTAGCAACGTGTTTTTTCGATTTTTTTCGGAAAAATTAAATGCCCTTATGATATTACTTACGACTATTTCCCTCGTCTTAATTTCCACCAATCACAAACGCTCAATTTTGAATTAAAAATGGTTTCTAGGTGAAAAAACTGTGTGACAGCACCTGTCAGCAGTTTTTTCGAGTTTACCCGCGGCAAAACTTGACAGCTGTTGTCATCAAAAATTGCAATTTATATTTTAATTGTTAACTGTTACTCATGAAATAGTCTTGTCAAATACCATTCGGGATCAAATTTTTCCTGTGAAAAAAATTGAAAAAACATAATGCTAAGTAATATTTTTTAACAAAATCATTCGTGCAGGTGCAAAAATCCTCCTCTTCGACTCGGATTTTTGTTGCCACCAGCACTCATGCTTTTTGTTAAAATATTACTTAGCAACGTGTTTTTTTTGATTTTTTTCGGAAAAATTAGATGCCCTTATGATATTAATTACAAAAAAACTGTGTGACAGCACCTGTCAGCAGTTTTTTCGAGTTTACCCGCGGCAAAACTTGACAGCTGTTGTCATCAAAAATTGCAATTTATATTTTAATTGTTAACTGTTACT